TGTAGAACATACTGAACCAATGAAAGACTGCACTGAAGATCCATTGTGTCTCGCGCCAATGCGTGATCATGAGCATGATGAAGATGTCCCACAAGTTGACGCAGTAGAGTTGCCAGCTCATCCAATGGTTTCGGATACTGAGCAACGTCGGAGAAAACACAGGAAGGAGAATCGACGGAGGAAGTGGGAGAAGTTGAAGAGGCAGAAACCAAAGGCTCCAGTCCGCAAACCCATCATCAGGGGGGTTGAAGCCGTAGAAACTATGATGAATGGACTCCAACAATTTTACAACGATAGATCCAGACAACATGATGAGCAAACATCCGAACTTTACCAATCCATCTCGCATAGCATTGCCAAGGAGTTCAATGACTTCAACGAGAGCACTGCTGAGATGGCGGTTCCAGAACCACATCACCCAGGACTTCCAGGACACGGGACTTTGATCGAGTTCTGTACTTCTTCAGATTCCATGATGGGAAGAGTTGGAAAAGATCTTGGGATTCATGTCATAAGATGTTCTGAGAATCATTTAAATGTCGAAAGTGATGAAACTATCAAAGTCCTTGACGGCATCATCGAAACCAAACCTGGTGCCGACCTTTGGGGTTCATTACCATGTGGGCCTTGGACTCAGTGGCAGACGCTCAACGTGCATTTGTATGGTGATGACTTCGCCAGCAGATTGTCCGAGAGGCGTAAGGTGTCAAGAAGGTTGGTTAAACGGTTTTGTCGTTTGGCTCGCGCTGTAGCGCGAAAGGGAGGTCGAGTCACATTCGAATGGCCTCGACACTGTGTTGGTTGGGCATTGCAAGAACTCCAGAAACTTATTCGGGATCTCAACATGATGATTGTGGATTTTGATGGGTGCCAAGTTGGATTGACTGACTCAAAGGGTGATCTTCATTTGAAGAGGTGGAGGTTGATTACTACATGCAACCGTACTGCTAGGATCTTTCCAACGTTGAGATGCAATCATCCAGCTGATTTCCAACATGCCCCCATTTCAGGATCAAGAACACGCCTCACTGGTTTCTACCCCAAGGAGATGTGTGAGTATGTAATGCATGCGATGTATCCTGATATCATCTCACGACATGTCCCAGCCATGCCAGTCACACAAGTGATAGAGCAAACAGTTGAACACCGGGAGCGTGAGCCTGAAGAGGGACGAGATGGTGGTGTCTTCATTTACGATTCAGTCGACCCCCTTGCAGCAGCCGCAGCTGAGGGCCTGGATGAACCTGCCGATGATGAGGCTGAGGACAGGGAATCCAGGGATGATAGACTGAAGAGGGAGGCAACATCATTAGAACACATCACATTGCACGCCAAGAAGAATCCTTTTTGCCCACATTGCCAAAGAGGTCGAATGATCAAACGATATGCTCATAGACATAGACCCGAACCTGAGGACGAAGAGGTTGTGTACAGTATTGCAAAGGAGTTTGGAAGCATCATTGAGGCTGACCACATTTTTCCAGCGGTTGAGTCTAGGGGGCTTGGTGGTGAACAGTCCGCCCTCTTAGTGCGAGACAGATACTCTGGAATGTGTTTGACATACCCTCAACGAACACGCAATGAAGATAGCAACTATGATGCGTTGAAACATTTTGGTGGCAACAAGTTGAACGGTAACCCAGATGTTGTATTCCACTCCGACACAGCCCAGGAATTGACCAATGCTGCATCAAGACTGGGATGGGTGGCTGATCCATCAGCCGCCAATCACTGGCCACACAATGCCTTTGTTGAAAGAGAAATCAGGACCATCAAGGAGATGTGCAGGCCATCACACCTGCAGGCAGGTTTCCACAGAAGGCTCTGGACCATTTCCATCGAGTACACAGCCACTGCAAGATCCTTCTTCACTCCGGCTCCGATCACGGAGGATGAGAGAGACACGGAAGAGGGAAAGAAGAAACTTGGTAAGACGCGATGGGAAGTGGCCACAGGTAAACCTTTTGATGGCGTCTCTTATCCACTAGGCGCATTGGTTTTCTATCGTTCCAAGGGGGACGGCATGGCAGAGCCCACAACTCGTCCGGGGTTGTTTGCCGGTTGGCACCTATCCCCTGGGCTTCGGTATCGTGGCAATGTGAAGATTTTGGACTATGAGTCTGTCAGAGAGAGAGGACATTTGCACTGGCAGCCACGTGTGATGCATGAGAAGGAGGTCTATTTCCCTCCAACAGAATACATGGAATTTCCTCTTGCATTAGCTGCACAAAATGCCATGTTGCAAATGACGGATGAGGAGAAAGAAGTCAAGAAAGCCATCTATGATAGATCTTTCGTGGAAGGGGTTTTGCCATATGACGTGTGCATTGATTCTTTTCCTGTTGACGCGCCTCCACCTCCTCCAAGACACGCTTACATAACATGGTCAAGGTTGATGAAACATGGCTTCACCAGGGGATGTCCAGGGTGCTCCATGGGACACAACAGACACTCACAAGAATGCAAAACAAGGTTTGACGCCATCTTCTCCAGACATGGCGAATCAGTGGGACCAACTCCGAGACCAATACAGGATGGTGTTGAAACTGAATATGAACCATCCATAGCTCCAGATCAATTCCCTGAAGATGAAGTACCCATATGCCCACCGAGGTCTGATGATGAAGAAGAGCTGCAACCAGCAGCGGTCACCAGACAGCTCCCGAGGTCAGAGGTTCTCTCGCGTCCTGACGTGATAGCCGCGATCAAGAAGGAGTTTGACGGTATTGGGGACATGGGCACATGGGATTTGGGATCGGTTGAGGAGGAAGAGACGGTGAAAAGGCGAGCCATAGAGAATGGCCAGACTATCCACCTAGCAGACCTACTAGCCATATGTAGTGAGAAGAACGTTGAGCTAGAACCAAAGTTCAGAACCCTCAAGGGTAGAGTATGCTACAGGGGAGACGCAGCGAAAACTGCAAAAGGAAATGTCGCGCTATATCAAACCATGAGCGCGTCCCCTGCTTCGATCACTGCGGCTAACGCCATCATAGCATACGGTCTGTTGAAAGGCCACAAGATTTCACCAGCAGACGCCATCAAGGCGTACCTTCAGAGCGTTTTGAACTCATTGGCCGAAACTTGGGTCAGGTTGCCCAGAGAAGTTTGGCCGGAAACTTGGTTTGACTCAAATGGAAAGCCTTTGTACCGGAGGCCAGTCATCAGGCTGCTTCGCAGCTTGTATGGGCATCCAGAAGCTGGAGCACATTGGGAAAGGAAGCTGGAGCAAGAGTTGGTAAACATGGGAGCCACGAAGATTCCAGAATTCCCAAGCACATATGTGTTTCCTTCCTACGGGCACTTGGCTTTGGTTGTTTATGTGGATGACTTCGTTTTGAGCGGGGACAGTTCATACCACGATTCCTTTTGGGCAGACCTTTCTAAAAGAATCATGTTGGATGACATCGGTGACCTAGGTAGGTTCTTGGGGAGACATCATTCAACAGTGGAGTTCAGAAATCAAGAACTATTCGCATTCGACATGCGAGCCTATGCTGAGAGCATTGTCAATGACTATGTTCGACTGATAGGTCACGCAAAACTGAAGAGAGTTAGCACACCATTTCTCTCAAAGACCACTGTGCTTGAGGAGGCTCCAACTAAGGGCGAACTTGCAGGTTCAGCCAGCTCGGTCCTTATGAAACTGATGTAGTTGGCGCGATTGTCGCGGCCTGATATGCTGAGAGTAACCACTTGGTTAGCTACTAAGGTGCAACAGTGGACCACGGAGTGTGACAACCATCTTTTCAGGGCGCTTAGTTATTTGAATGAAACAAAAGACCACTTACTCACTGGCCATGTAGATGATGATTTAAATGACATCTATGTTGAGCTGTTCTGCGATGCAGACTTTTGTGGTGATGACGAGCACACATATTCCACAACTGGTGGGTGGGTACAGCTAAGTGGAAAGAGCACCAGTTTTCCACTGACCTGGATGTCCAAAAAGCAAGGTGCGGTCTCCAGATCGACAACTGAAGCTGAGGCTGCAGCGATGGCTACTACTTTATTTGATGAAGGTCTGCCGTTGCTAGAGCTGTTTTCAGTATTATTCAGAAAAGTCAGTGCGCTTGTTAATCAGAGAAGATAACGAAGCCACAGCAAAGGTGGTCTCTGCTGGCTATTCCAAGCGTTTGCGACATATGAAGAGAACACATCGTATAAACTTAGGTAGCCTCAAAGAGGAACTGGAAAAGGACGATGTGGACTTGCAACTAGTTGCCAGTCGCTACCAGAAAGCCGACATCTTCACTAAGGGATTGGCAGGTGAACTGTGGGGACCCGCATTGGACCTTCTGGGAATTATCAATGGATATGTGGTCACTCGGACCACGAGCACTGGTTTGAAGATCCAGGAGAATTTTGATGAGTCTCTGCAGCCTTCCTATGCTGAGGACAGGTCAAAACCTGTGCCTACTCAGGATGCTCCGAAGCCTAAGGCCAATGTGAGAAAGAAGTACAAGAAGAAGGCCCCACGCATTCTTCCATACCAGAAAGCTCCAGAAGACTAGGTCGGTGCCGAACGTACCACTGGCCGGAGTCAATCGAGAGGGGGGAGTAGAAAATACTCGAATAACCCCTATGCCGTGTATGCATGTTCATACCACATAGTGGTCCCAAAACGGAGCCCACTATATTGTTGTTGCCTTTGACCGTAGAGTGTACATAATGTCAGGGCTTTTACAACGGGAATAGACTATTCAAATAGTTATCAACAATGATAACTCATTTCCTTAATCCTGTAATCCGGGGTTTTGGTCATCAAACCATTTACTTGGCCAACAACGTTTGGCTCAAGGTGCCCGCTAAAACAGGTGTTGTTGCTTAGTGTCACTGGCCATTGTTACATCTGTTGACTACTGCATCTTGAATACACGTGAATATCACTTCTGGTACAATCCCCGCATTCACTGGATTTACTGGAATTTTGTCTAACTTCCTTTATAATTAGCCCTAGATCGCTCCGAAATCCACCTGCCGCCTTTTCCTGGCATCAGGAGCTTGATGAAGTCACTTCAGCTTTGCACGACTTTTCTCCTTTTGAGGAGGCAGCATCCTCCGACGATGAGGAGATCAGCTTCATACAAGTTTCAGCACATCCAGAAAATCCAGGAACATCCCAGCTATTTTCACCAGGGGATTCAGGGTCAGCATCTTGAGCCCTCACGGCCCAAACCCGTGCGTGGATACCATTGATCCCGATTCAAGCGGTCAGGAGGACCCTATTTGCCCCACGCCATATGGCAAGGGCCTGGTCGATGTGTGCATTGGGCGAGAGACGCTGCTGAACTACGATGTCAACGAAAAGTACTCGCCCTCTTTGCACAGCCAGCTCAGTCATGAGAGCCTTGTGCTCAACTGGAATTTTATCTTTGGAACATGGATGATTTATGAAAATGGAATCCAGGAATCAATGGAAAACATGATGTTTTTCCATGTTTTTCCTATAACTATGGGGTTTCTTGTAAAATTTCCCTTCAACCAATCCAATGCGAAAAACCTGGTTGTGGACAGTGCAATAGAGTACATGATGCGCATGATGGGCCCATATCAACTTCGTGAGGGATT